GTGGCTTGCCTGCTTTTTTCCTTTGCTTTATACCCTCTTCACCTACCTCGAAATCAAATATTGTACATTATCTGTTTATCTCTTGCTTTAAGTGAGATTATAAAAGTACTAAAGCAGGAAGGAGTACGAAGTTGTGCCCTGCTGAGCTTGATCTTCCCGAATGTATCGTTGTTAATGTCGTGGAGGGTATATGTATACAACCTTAATTATATCATCTACATGCTTGTTTATACTATTTGCTGCATTTTTTGTGTAGGTGTTCTCATAGCAGTAAACTGCAGCTACAACARCTSGCTGCGAGGCAAAGGAGACCTGGTACAGAAARGAACTTGCCTCGCCGCCTGCCGCCWGCCGCACTCCTTAAGCGCATGTGTGTTCGCGCATTATTCTTGTTCGTCYAYGCCACCACCARGCTTTGCATTGAGGAACATTGGGCTGCGYTGTGCTCTGCTGTTGCAGCTTTTCAGTTTCCACTTGTGTGTGAATAAATGGCTCTCCACCCAGGTGCGTGTGCAGGTATGCCTGTTGTGRCACACACACACACAAATGCGCAAATGCTTTTCTTGTGTCTGCCTCAACCGCAAACGCATTGCAACTCATTAATATTAAATACGCTGCAACACGCGACGCATGAAGTATCTTCAGTTGACTGGCAACCGAGTGGACTTGGAAAGCGCATCAGCCTGCTCGAGGGCTTCTTCCCGGCCGGCTGTAACAACTCTGTCCGACGAGCGCAGTTGTCGGCCTTCTCAATCTCATTGTATTAACGCTTTAACGCGGTGACGTACCGCGTGTGGATGTGTGTGCGTGTGCTCTGTGTCTTTTGCAATTTATGCGCACTTTGATTCAATTTCATTCACGTGACTTGTAAATTATCAAGTCATGTAAGAAATCCATTCGCGATGCCTGCATAACATATTCTAGRCAAGTTCAAGATGTGGGGCTGCGRGGTGGAGTGTGTGGCGGGCCGAGCGTGTTCAGGTGCTGTGTTCAAGATGTTCTTCTCGCTAGTCAGTTCGCCGTCGACACTTTTTAGTTGGTGCGGTCTGGCGTTCTTGTGAAGCGAAAAGGAATTTTAAGCGAAAGATGAAAGGGAGAAAGAATCCTAAAAATATCGAAATCACCGACCCAAGTTATTGGTGGCTAATATTGGCTCATTTACGTTTTGATGACGTAATTTTCACCAGATTTAAATAATGAAAGCCTATTAGACGCTTAATCATTTTATTTGAAGTACATATTTTATTAAAAGGTTACCAAGGACCAATGGTCTGACTGTGATATGGCAGCCGGCCAGTACAACCTTCTTTAGATCGAAAAGTTAAATCAAGCGTGAGTACCTTTTGCTTAGTGAGTGACATCGAAATCACGAAAATATTGTTTGAGAACAGATAGCGGAGATACACTAAAAATTTAATATTATCAGGAAAAAGGTTTGTTAACTTTAAAAGTGGTGCAAGACTTGGCTAAGTACCGACTAGTTAAACTTTGTCTCGAAATAGTTTAGATTATTACAGAACCAAAGGATAGAAAAAAGGTGCAGGTTTACATGTAATCACATGCATTTACTTTCCCCTTTCCACAACGTGAAAAGGAAATATCAAGCAATCCGAGTATCTTCATATGGCACCACAAAGCTGGAACAGCTCCACAGGACTAGSTTGCTGARAGCTCCAAGCCACTTAATTGACAAAAGCTTTCTTGCGCAAAGCATTAAATACAACAACACTTGAACTGTCTCTTATACACATCTAGATGACAAAAGCTTTCTTGCGCAAAGCATTAAATACAACAACACTTGAAAGTGTGTATTGTAGCTTCGTCCACTCGATATTACTACAAATCGTAGCTTCCTCTTGCCCTCATAAAGTGAAGTAAAATAGTGTCCCCAGGCCTCGAATGACATTAACCTCAAACAAAGCACTATAATTTTGCTCTATATGCGTTTGTGTATGTGCAGCTGCTGCAAGGAATTGATCTAAAAATAACATGAATTGAGATTGGAAATGGCGAGCAGCCAATATTTCCTAACGACAAATGGCCAAGAAAATTGGACAACCGCTCTGCCGCTTCGAAGCAACAAACACGTAATGTTTACGGCTTCAGGCAGTTCTACACATAAGTTTATATCGGCTATATACTTAGCAGCCGCAAATAAGCTGGTTGCCGTGTTGTTGCATGCAACACTGCAGCCCGACTGGAGACATAGAGAGAATGGCCGCAAACGACAAATGCGAAAAATTATGGGTTCGCCGAGATTGAAGCGGTCACATGCAAGTGCTTGTGTGTATGCATGTGTGTGTGGGCAAGTGTGCCACAGCGTGTCATTAAACTTGAACGTCGTCGGCTGCCTCAAATGGGCGAATTTTAATCAACAGTCAAGTTGACGAAAGATGCAAGACACAAAATTGCAACAAAAACAACAAGTTGCGCTTTATCTCCACACTACGCTCTCTAATTAATATGTCYAATTTGAATTGTTTGTGCTCGCTGTGCGTWGAGTGATGGATTAGAAAATGGAAAAAGAGAGAAAAATTCAGATTTCCATTTGTTGTTGCCAGCAACATTTTGCCAGCGACGCTTGGTYGGGGCCAAACAGGAAAGCGGTCCAGCTCGACGAGCGAACAACGCGCSTGAACAATAACAACAATTAAATTCGCTCAACAAATGAAACTAGTTCGTTCAACCAWATCGCCAGACTGATTTGCCGCGCGATAAATAGATAAATTGCCGTTTGACGGACGGTGTGTTGCAGTGTTGTCCGACTGACTCAATGTTTGCCATTTTGTTTGTGGTGGCCGGCTGAACTGGGTGCTTGGCTATTAATGCGCATGTGTGCCACAGTGCCCTATGTTGTTAGTGGGTTAAGCGCCAGAGTTAAATGCTGAATTGACACAATTTGAATATGACCGAGAGTCGCCGAGTGAGAAGTGCGAACGCAATCGGGCTTGCGTTAATGCATGTACTCACACACACAGAAACAGAAAAAAGTCTCCTCGATAATAATGAAATAAATAACACTTAATGAATTGCTGACTAAACGAGTACACTAATGTGCATCTATGTGTGTGTGTATGCGTGAACCCGTTAGTTGCAAAAACAGACCCCCGCCTGAATTTTTCTCTGCTTACCTACAAAGCCATACATACATATATTTATTATTATAAATACAAAAAAAAACAAAATAAGTTGAAGTTGTATTAGAAATACGAAAGGACTTTTTCGACTACCCATTTGCGTGAAGTAGCTTTGGGCCTAAATTTTTTCCCCAAAAATTTTATTGATCAATAGTTTTACAAAAATGGCTGAGTCAAAAAATTTAAAACTCTGCACAGAAATATTTTCGTTAACACAAGCTGTCTTCGATTTGCCAAGCGATACTCTCCAAATTATACGAGGTGATCAAAAAAACAGTTTATTAAGAAATATACTTTTTTCCACACTGAATACTTCGAGAAATCAATTTACTATTTCCTGTACCGCACTTTTCCTACCGACCCCTTTGTTCGACCGCCGGTCTTCCGTCAACATCAATTCTGTTCGTTCACACATAATGTGTGCATTTCGCATTGGCTTAGCCAGCAGTTCCAGTGTCAGCGATTACTGTTATTGTAGCTTGACCCAGAATAACAGGACTTCCACTTCCACTTTGAATGCAATGTAATGTCAAGATTTCTAAGATTTCTTTTTTACACACACAGGCAACAAAAATGTAATGCTTTGTTGTTGCTTATGTGAACTATATGTTATTTTTGTTGCTTATTAAGGCATAATTATATGCAAAGTTTACCCTAAAAAGCTGTCCTTGGTTTCGTTTTCTTGTCACCGCGTTCTCTGGCTTTTTGTGTAATATTCTCGGCATTAGTCATGATTTACTTGCGACTTAATGTCAACAATAAACATCATTTGCATAGAGCGAGCGCTGTCGTAATRAGCGCAACTACAACTATTTCATTCTTCATTTTTTTCGTTCTTATTTAGCTCACTTAATATGCAGATATGCAGTCGGGTGGGATTTTACGTGGAGGCGGCATTATCTTATTGTATTAGATTTGTGGTTGGAAGATAAAGACAAATTCAGGCRTGTACATTCACATATTTACATGCTTTTCAGTTCACATTTTAATTACAAAAGCGAAATCTGCGTGCTTTGAGTAATGGGTAGTACCGGTGGATGTCAAAAGAGAGGTGTCTTTTGATACCTCTTGGAACTTTAATATTTGTTATTTAATTTTGCAACTGTTTGTACTGCTCTCAAAGCTGGAGAGGGGGCATGTTGATTTGGTTTGAAATTTTGTGAGATGTCCGAATATTACGATAAGATCGAAATTTGGTAAAAGTTCTCTGAAACTATAATTCTAGGGGTTTTAAAATAATCTTTCTGACATGAATGCATCAAACCCATATAAAAACTTCATCCCAACTTCAATTTGTACGGTCTAGTCTGTATATAACATGTGATCAAATTTGACCCGGACTGTTCCATTCAAATCGAATCGATAACTTTTTTCTTGGATTGGTGCATATTTTTTCAATATTCGTGTGAATTTTAATCTGAATACGTCAATTTGTGTGTGTTTGGTATCGACTTCGGATTCATCGAAAATGTTGCAAAATGTAAAAGGAAATGACAATTTGGCCAACTACCCGCCAGGAKTTTTAGCTTCACCGCATGGAGGACCTATGGTCAGTACGATTGCGRCAAGATGAACTTCGCTCAAAGAAAGAAGTTCAGTAGATCTCTTCCGTTCTACCCTATGCCAAAAGGAGGAGCAGAGTAAAGGTGCCACACTGACCAACGCATCACCCTTGCTGTTGCCAGTGATTCCGACGACATCATTCGCCCAAAGAAATATGTTGATTAAGTATTTTCTTCTTCAATCTGCCTTCCTAGCTTCGACGCATCCCGAGAAAAAGCTCACTTTATTGATAAAAGTATTTTGTTTTACACAACTTCAGTGCACCTTTTCTTAAGTTGTCTGAAAATCACAACATCTTACCTTTTATGCTGGTTATAATCTGGAAAAGAGAAAAGAGTAAAAATATGTTTATTTAATTCTTTGTTTAAATACAAGTACAATTGAAGCTAATGCAATAAAAAGTACGGAAATTGTCTTATCTAAAGCAACACACATGRTATAGCTAATGCTCACATTAGATTGAAAAGTGTGATCTCAATGCAATGTTGAGGTTTTGTTGTTCCTAYGTGTTGTTGGAATTTGCATTTGTCTGCGTCTACACATACATYAATGTGCCAACAATTATGAACAAGGTAAATGGCGGAGGCTCACAAATGTGTTGATTACCCACAGATATTGGATTGCCAGCGAAGTTTGAACTACTTTGAAAACGCTGGAGGAAACTCGAAGACGAACATAGGCGAAAGCTGAAACAGAGTCAATGTTGAACGCTTCAATAAAAGTTGAGAACTTTGGAGAAAAGTAGTGAAGTATGCAAACAATTAAGGGAAATGTTGAAAAAACAAATCGAATAAAAACATTTGTCGGCATCCGAAGGCGAGATGAATGAAAGCAAAGGTAAGCAAATCGATAAACGCTTAAAAGGCAGAGGACAGAATGTGGGCTACAGGTTGGTTCCAGGCAGCCACCGCCGCCGGCTATGGGTTTCTAGCCYTTTTTGTCGGAGCGAAGTTTTTCTACTCCGAAAAGTAGAACATCGAGTGTAGGAAAGAGTGAATTTGCGGGCAGTGTGTCAGCGATTGCCATCGCCCACGGGGCACATTCATTCATATCCGAGTAAAAGCGCAGAGACATCAAAGGGTCATTCACCATATTCACACTTTTCAAAATTTAACGGTCATTCGAGCCTGCGGCCAATCCAACGCGCTGAGTGTGTCAGTAGTAAAGCTTGGGCTGCCCAGCAGGCACACACTTGCGCATACAATTATCGCTCGTACAAAGCAAAAGCGAACAATCAGTACAAGCAATAATGAAAAGAAATATGGAACGCTTAGCAAAAGTGCCTTACCCATTGTTAGCGGGCACAGACAATTGGCGTTACAATTGAGCGCCGCTATTGAAGTGCACTCACACACTTACATACATTTCATTATGCGAGCACTTGAGGGAGTGTGAGTGTATTGTATTCAAATTTCATGGATATTTGCATGTACTTTGGCTTGGGCTGACATTTGACAGCGCATATGTCAAATTTTGACGGATTTATGCTGCGCGCGCGCAAACTATGGCTAATATCGGCTGCTTGGTTCCTTTTTCAATTCACATCGATGTRGTGGCGCTTCAGAATCTGATGCGAAATCGGTTTGCAACCAATGGGAGAGTAGTCTGGGTTTGGTTTTGTAGACTTGGCAGAATTGTATTTGAAGTAACTAATAAAATTAGAGGCTAGTGTTTTTTTTTTTCAAATAGTGCTAAAGTTTATCTGAAGACTGAAGACTAGCAATTTACTCTTTAAAATTCTTAGAAAACAGCAATTTTTATTCAAAGAAATATTTGCTATTTTTTSTGTCTTAACCTCTTCCCGGCCACTCTTATGAAAGCATAAGACTGAATAGAAAATTATGCTATATTGCCGTTACTAGAAATGGTCGAGTAATCTCGAATTTTCATTGAATCAATTGTTTTTATTTGTGTAACCCTAAAACCTACTTGTTGTAAAAACCCATAAAAAGTGTCCGGCCACAGAAAAAACAATTCCCTCGGGGCCTCTGCCACTCCTAGCAAATCAAGTCGCAGCACAAATATCGTCAGTTGTTGAAACAAGTAGCCACTCTTCGATGGGCCGCAGCGCTTTCAGGCTTTCTTTCGAGTGCCGACTGTTTGTCGATCATTAAGTACTTCTCTTTCGCAATTKTGTGCACATTTCCAGCAATTCACGCCAGCCAGACCGTACTTTACACAAAACWATTCAAAGTACCAGCAGTTGTCTCGTGTAATTTTGAATATATGCTCACACAAACRCTTACACACTTGACGGGAGTTATAACTGTTTGTTGTTTGATTTGCAAGTGAAGTTGCATGCGACTTCTTGGCTCGAGGCAACAGCACTCCGCTCACTCTAGGCGCTTGTTGTTGCAGCCCACGCACTTGTTAAAGGTAACACGGGCTTGTAAACAGCATCTGGAGGCATTTCTATGACCAATCGCTGCTGCCTCCTTTTTTCTTTAATTAGCTGACGCGCACTCTGGTACACTCCCTTTTGCATTATTTGCATTTGGTGCGCCTCTACACACACACGCACACTCACCAACAACTGTTTTTACGCCAGCTGCTATGCCAGCTCACTAGTAAGCCACGGAGGAGCATTTGCGTAGGATCCAACTCCTCTGCTGCGCGTAGTGAAGTCACATTTGACTGTTCATTATTGCCATGACTTGTTTGTTTAATTTATTTTTTATTTTGACGTTTGGCATTACACAGACTACAGACATTTTGTGCAACTCATTAGTGCTTACATTTTTAGTCTAAATTAACCCAGTTTGTAATTAAGCGAATTTCTTCGTTATTCAAATTTGCTTTGCGTTGGTGGTCGGCTTGAGTTATAGCTGTTGCCACAGTGGAATGCCCGCCAAAGACACAAGGGATCGACAACCGTCATAAAATGACAAATTTCATAGATTTTTTGGAGTTACTAGTGAAGTTATCACAGGTCTTGTTTGTTCCCAAACCCTTGTTGGTGATGACTCTGCTTATGCSTGGAGAAATTTTCCGTATCACTCGTAAAATTTTGACTTTCCAAAAGCAGAGAACGTTGTTGTTTAATAAGTTGTGTCTTGAGATAAAAGAGAGTTCTGTTGATATTTCAATAAGTGAGTTCATTCGTGTCACAGTATTTTTTTAAATATCGTGCRGTGATAAAATTCWTATTTTTAGAAGGTTCAGCACCAAATGAAATTCACGAACGAATATTAAGAGTGMAGAATGATTGTTCACCTACAATAWGAACAGTAGAAAGATGGGTTGCTGAATTTAAATGTGGTCGTACAAGCCTTGAAAATKATCCACGTGAAGGACGTYCTCATAGCGCATCAACACCAGAAATCRTAGCCAAAATACAGGATATGGTTTTGGTAGATCGTCGATTGACTGAGAGAAATTTAGTAGAGGCTCTGCACATCTCATTAGGTAGTGGAGCCATATTTAAGTGAAATTTTRGGTTTTAGAAAGCTGTGTGTGGGTGCCGCATTCGCTAACAATGGAACAAAAACACATTCGAATGCGACTTTCTCAGCAACATTTCTGGCGTTTTAAATAGGATAAAGTGGGTTTTGTRCGTCGATTCATCACTATGGATGATATGGATATGAAAAAAAGAACCGGTTCGCAGAAAAAAATCCTTTTTAATCAGGACCATGCACCGTGTCACAAGAGCATTTTGACAATGGCTAAAATCTATGAATTACAGTTCGAATTGTTGAAGCATCCACCGTGTTCACCTGATTCGGCCTAAAAGACTTCTTGAGAGCCCATGGCGCGAAGCGATGTAGCTTGGGCTTCAGTTCGTTGAATTTTCGTAATAAAGTTGAACGATTTGTAAACATTGTTTGAACGAAAGTTTTCCATGACCACATACTGAACAAACGAACATGACAGCTTGACACGAATCGCGCATGATCTATTAAGAAAAGGTTGTTGGAAAAAGTGCTTCTTCTACGATTACCAGTATATATTCTAATGCTAATTTAGCATCTTTGTCATTTCCAGCGAGTAATCTGTAATGTGAAATGTTTGCGTAATGTGTCTCCGTTGAGTGGCGTTAGCGCAGATAGAACCAGATGCAGTCTCATTTCCCGATTGACCTTTCCATAAACCTCGCGCAAAGTGCCAGCATTATTTTTAAAAATTAGAAATCTGTCATCCAGTTGAAATGTGTGTAAATACTCTTTTAAAAATACCGTTTAGTTGTCTGTTCAAGTCTTATTCTTGCTTGTTGCGCTGCAGTCGAAACAATTCCCACTGAGATTAATTGAAAAGACATTTGCGTGCTCAGGGCTGAACGCAAATGTGGCAGTGTTGCAACAATGTAACTTAGAATTCTCCCATTGCAACTAATCCGCAGACCGATCAAACAGAGTCGTCACAACAAAGCAAAAAGACTTCTGCAAATGCTGCTCGTGCTGCTTCTTCCATCGCTTTTATGTTGCACGTTGACATAATTTATTGCACAGAAAAATTTGCCGCAATGGCAAGGGATTTCGGAGCGAACTCGAATAAAATGCACGAGTACACACACACACACACACACATACCTCCGGATGTGAACTTCAGTCTGAAACATAGGAGCGCATTGCTGGGCCTGCAAGTGCATCTTCTATGCAAAAGCGCCGCAAAGGAACCGCAATGTGGCAACAACAAGCGACAGACAGACCCCTATCTATGACAACTTGAGTGGCACAGCACTTGAAAGCGCTGCGCACATAAATACCAAAAATTGCCATTTTTCTTTGCGGTTGAGTAGAATTCTTCGGAAAACACACACACACTCGTGCACAAACAAATCGGTCGCACGAGCGCTGAAAATTTAAATGCTCACATAAAACAAGAATAAAAACACAATACCAATTCCCCCCAAGGCAGTCAAGTCCCTGTGGTGTCTGCTGCGACAATTTTGTTTGGCTGCGACAACAGCGATTCGCCGATGCTTATTGTCATTACGCCGGCGGCGAGGGGCCTCTCGGCAGCACTGGCTGCTGATAGTGTCGCGGTGTGCGCGCATATTTGATGGATGGTTTTAAAATCGGTAATGCAAAGGCAGCGAACACATAAACGAGTTGTTGGCAAAAAGTAACGGTACACGGAGTGTTTGCGCTTTATGTAATTGCTGTGTAACTGTACATGCGAGCGCGCTGTTTTTTGTGATGTGCGCTTGTTGCGGTGGGACGGTCTGCTGGCTCTTTACTTGGTTGGTAGGTCGGTCGGTCGATTGGGYGCTCGGGCGCTCGGTCGTGTTGTTTGTTTGGATTTGATTTGATTGCGGTTGCTGCCGCTGTGGGTTACTATTGCCGTTTGCATATTTTTGCGTTTTATGGGTTTCTAGGG